CGATTCGAAGACATGTTGCTAGCACCTATATGTACATGTACCTTTGCCTCTTGTCCTAGTTTCATATCTTCCACAGGTTTCTTCAACTCTTTAGCCATCTGCATCTCCAGTATCCGTTGCTGCATCTTACGGTCTTTCTTGGCCCTCTTCTCAACTTTCTTTTCATTCTTCTGCCTTTCTTTCTCCTGTAGAATTCCAATAGAACACAATTCAAGTTTAATGGTAAAACCTTACACAGGTTTTTTGTACACAAAGACGGAGTTTAATCAAGCATGTTTCTATGATCCGGGAATGGTCACCACTCCTTACCATGCAATGGTCACCACTCCTTACCATGTATCCTAATTATCCCTTGTTTTAACTAGAACAGCTTGGTAGCAGGGAAAACCTGTCTGGTAGATCCACACTAATGTACCATGAAAGCCTATTTAGGGTAAAACTGGCATACTTTTTCAGTAGAACCCCACTGTTTGAGCCAACAGAGCCACAAAGTAGAACACATCACTTACCAGTAAATTTACATGTATGCACTAAACATAAAACAGCTGGAAATCAGCCACAAGCAATATACATGTACATTGAATAGTGTAATAGCTGGTAAACTGTTGCTATTAATAAAAATGGTTATTTTTAATGTAGAGAGGATGTACATGAATATGTATGTGTACAACAGTCTCATGAAGCTGGTCAAAACCTTCTGATGTGTTGTATCAAGTGGGCAGAGTACCAGCTGTAGTGCTGCTGCTTTGTATGAAACTGTATGCTATGTTTTCAATGCTTATTCACTGCTTTTCAATGCTTACTTGCTAGTTTTCAATGCTTTCTCGGTGGATTTCAATGCTTACACGCTGCTTTTCAGTGCTTCCACGTTGCTTTTCAGTGCTTCCACGTTGCTTTTCAGTGCTTACTGACTTATTTCAATGCTTACATGTTGCTTTCCAGTGCTTACATGTTACTTTTCATTGCTTACTGACTTATTTCAATGCTTACATGTTGCTTTCCAGTGCTTACATGTTACTTTTCATTGCTTACTGACTTATTTCAATGCTTACATGTTGCTTTTCATTGCTTACTCACTTATTTCAATGCTTACATGCTGCTTTCCAATGCTTACTCGCTTGCTTTCAATGCTAACTTACTAGTAGAGAAATGTATGGAAAGGGAATGTTATCCTTTTAGTCCTGAACAGCAGTATGAAAAACGTGTGGAATGCTGTTTGGAATTGACAAACAATGCATCCATACATGTAGGTGGAATGCTGTTTGGAACTGACAAACAATGCATCCATACATGTAGGTGGAATGCTGTTTGGAACTGACAAACAATGCATCCATACATGTAGGTGGAATGCTGTTTGGAATTGACAAACAATGCATCCATACATGTAGGTGGGATGGGTGTCGTCCTACCTCTTGTTTCTTTCGTGCTTCCAGAGCTCTGACTAACATCATATGCTGTTTTCTTCTCTCTCGTTCCTTTGGTGACATCAACATAAATTAAAGAGATTAATAAGAAAGTTGCAAATATTTTGAATGCAATAAGATTAAATCAGGTCAAGTTATGATTGACACCTATCCACAGCACTGTACACTCAATGTGCGCATGCAGAACAAATACATGTATAAAGTCACAAAGGTCATGCTATATGTGTCATCTGAAATTACCAATGGTGGCATTATTCAGAAGAAAAAAAATGAAATATTTATCAGATTTGCGGTTGAAATTATGAATCTATGTCAAAGCCATTCAAAATGTAAACTGTATTAAAATTCCTTGAGATCAATGTGTGTTGCCTTAATTTGGTGAGTTTGTGACAAAACATACTGGAGAAAGAGAACTTGCACCTTGAAGGAAGGTACTTTAATATGGATGTAAAATCTCAGCTTTATTAAAACAGACCACGTTCTGGGAATTGATGTCCAAAGTATTTACTGGCAGTTCTCAAGCACATTTGAATAAATTAAGCTTTGCTTAAATTTCAGTCCTTTGTGGTACAACTTCCAACGATTCAGGTACTATTTTACTGATGTGAATGAGGAAACCACAATCTTAGACAATGACTATATCGTATCTTACCATAATTAGCATATGCTTGCGACGTTCTCGCTCCTAATATAAAAGCAAACATAAAATAGACCAAAAAACAATTTTTTAAAAAACAGCTCCTACTTTCGGAATGGAAAAAAAAACTGTTACAGAAATGTTACAACAGCCATGATATTTTCAGTGAATCTGCAGTCAACAACTTTTTAGACATTTCAACCTTGAAAACATAAACAGAACAAGGTGTGAACTGGCCATGCTTTTGTGCAGTGCAAGCAAGCAAAATCTGACAACATCCTGGACCAACATATAGAAAATATACTCTTCCACAAAAGGAGAGCAGAGTCACCAGTCATCAAGTAATAAATGTGTGCATGTTGGCAATGTATTCTTCATTTAGTTATTCAAAATTATTTCCATTTTCATTTCTTCTGACTCTACTCTTGTTTTGAGGAAGCAAACATTCACCGGACTTCTTACCTGATGTTTAAGCAGTACAGCATGCTGACGTCTCATTTCTCGTTCCTAGGACAACCAAAACCAATGACTAACATTAGGATTTGACACTAAATCTTCACACCTCAATGAAGGCTGTTGGACAAAAATGACTAAATGACAGTGACCACAGAGAGGTTTGTGCATTCTACTATCAGTATCAAATGATAGAAAGCTTTTACATGTATATAGGGCTAGGCATATTCGAACACAACTTCTCCTAAAAGAAAATGAATTTAGACTTAAATTTCTTATAAAAGTCACTGTTTTTAGTCCATAAAACATACCAGTGCGAAAGCACAGAGTTGCACATCTTCTGGACTTGGTTGTTTTAAAAGTTTTGAAACAGACATAGGATTTTCCGAAAATTTATGCGTACTACTGCAAAACCTGATCCAAAATTTCACAGTTGCTAAGGGTTCTTAGAGACAACAACTCCAGACTTTTTACTCAAAGACAGCATACACGGTAAACTACAGTAAAGAGATAAGGTAGACATGTACATGAAAGTCACCTTCCGATGACAAGATGTCACACTGTGATAAAGGCAATGACAGTGGCATTTTGAATGGCTTTACAGTGGTTTTATGACTTTCATGAAGGTCTTATGATGCGTGTTCTTTGCAGGGATGGCTTATGTGATGTTAACATTGCACATCATAAGAGTGGAACCCCTTCTAAGTCACATGATCACTAGGGGTGTACATTGTTAATTTAAGATACATGTCGATGGAAAACAGTTTTCTTTTCAAAATTCCTGTCTCTATTGCCTGTGCAGGACTGGCATACCGGTACATAATGCCATAACTGAAAATGAAATTGCCTTGATTGCTGTCAATTCCTACTGATGTTTATACAAGCTGACCTACATCTACGAAAGTCAGTAATTTCTCATATTTCTTTCAAAGAAATAACTTTTAGAGCTTTGCTGTCAAAAAAAATGGGAAACTTTGGACCAGGTTTCAAAAGTACATGTAGGCATATATAGTGTGTTGCATATGATGTGAATCTGTTGAGTGTGAGTGGACAAAATATTGTTCATGAGATGGATATTTCCACTGAGAAACAACACATTTGTGTTCTTTATTCCTCATTTAATGAGAAACTAATTTAAAATCAAATAAACAGCCTTTTGGTTAGGACCCGGTTTTAATAAATCTACAAAATGACCATGTCAATGTTAATGTTAGTATTAACCTCTGCAAACCGGTGAAAGGTAGAAAGGTAATTAGATTCATAGATGGGATGCAGATGACAGAAAACATGAAAAGATTCTTTGGAAAGGTCAAAGGTCAAGCAAGCAAAGCCAGTGATGCTTAACACATAAAAAAGAAAACCAAAATTTGTAAAAGCCAAAATGAAAACATAAGCGGCATGTCTAACTATTACATCTCGTTTATGATCATGTGAATCTGATTGTGGCAGAGCAAGGAGCCACACTCTTAATACCAACGGTCTGTAATGAAAACTGCAATTAAACTGCCCCAACATTTTATTAGTAGCAGCCTATATGGACAGATTGCCTGCAATAAGATTGGATTAAAGAAGAACTGACTTTAGGATGACAGAAATTTCAAATGCTAGCCTATTACAAAATACTTCTTTAGAAGGATGTTTTTTGAGGACGGTCAAATATTTCATTGATGAGAAAAAATACAAAACACTGCAGACAGTCTTCCTAAAAAGGATCTTGGCCATTCACCAAAATAACCGTGCTGTAACTTTCAGATCTGTTTTATATTACTTTTGGGGAGCCTTTCCTTGTGTGAATTCATAATAATTTCAGCAATAACCTAAGAATGAATACACTTAAGATGTACTGAAAATGTATCCAAACTGAATTCCACCAATTACAGTTTACACAATCAAAAGAAACAACCTGTAAGAAACTTAATATGAGGTAAATATTTCCTGATTTGTTCACAGCAAAATCACTCTCAAGAAACTGACTAACTAATGTTCCTTTTCAATAAAGAAGGTCATGCCGCAAAACATGAATCACATAAAAACTTTTACAAAGAAAAACAGAAGAAACACTGACACAAGATTTTGTTAATCAACATACTAAGAAGTCCCAAACTATAAACTGAACCCATCAATCCCAAGACCATCACCATACCACAGAAAAACTGGACAACTGCCCAACAAATTGAGTCCCAAAAACAGGGTGAAAAAAAATGTGAAATGAAATGTTGTGGGTGTGGTTGGAGAGTGAACAAACCTTGGCACGCTTGAAGGCTTCCATCATTTTGGACTGGATTTCAGCTTGTTTTCGTTTTTTACGATCCTGTGCATGCAAAACAGGAATCAGTCTCACAAATAATATACACCTGATATCCTTTAAACCTGCCTCAGCACTTCTATGAAGCTAATTTCTCTTGATTTTGACAAGACAAACTCCAGGAATATACATGTACTGTACATGTAACATGGAATGTTTCTGCCTTGACAATGGGCTAAAACAAACATAACTAATACATCTATTTCTTGATCTCTCTTAGAAGATGACAAAAATCTTCATACAAAATTTTAACCCCTGATTGGCAGGCTTATAGTAATTCCTTAACCCATCATGGACCAGTTAAGTGCAGCCTATCCATATCGAGTTGTAAACTTGCCTAAACCAGACCAGACCGGCATCCACAGATGACATCATATGCCACCACAAGGTATGAAGTAAGCACTATTACCAGTGTCTTGCCTAGGGATATATGCCTTGTAACTCCTTAAGTGGGAATCAAAGCCCCTATTTCTTGAAGTCTTTATACCTGAATGACCATCTGATTCCTTTACTGGAAATCAGGAACTTGTTCCAAACTTTAATAGTAACATTGTCAGCCAACCTAATGGCATGCTTGTATTACTTGTATAGCAAAATAAACTGCAGGTAAGAGAAAAAAATAGGGGAAAAGAACAACAGAGGACTGAATCCTGAGGAAGATCTGTCACAGAAATGGACAAGTCAAGACACAACACAATTGGCTGCAAAGAATGGAAGATAATGGAAAGAATACATGTAAAATGCTGCGGTGGCATTCCATTCATTTCTGAGTTGATAAACATAAAACAAGCAATACACAAAAATGTATTGAAATGAAAGGTGGAGAGAAAAAAGGGTATGTTCCTATCACATTCAAGAATGTGAACCGTGTCATCTCTGGAGAAAATCCAAATATCAAATACCCAGTGTGTACTAAACTCTGACACACTACCTTATGATGATTAAACTTTGAATAGACTATTGGATGCCACCATCAGGTCATGTGATATGAATTCAGAGTAACACTGTGTGTGGCATACTACACCTCTAAGTAAATGGTATAGACTATACCAAGACATCATTACTGTGGCACAACACTCTCACATGCAATCTCAACCTTGAGACATCTGTACATTTAGGCAAATCATGATACCCTATTGTTGAAAAGGGCACATCCCACCTGTCCAGGTGTGTGGTGCCACAGTGGTATTGCCAGGCCATAATCATGCTATAAGCTCTAACTTGCCACTTACAAATGACTGTACACTAGGTTTGTGCATAAGAGGACAATCCAATACTACCAATGCATGGCCCTTTGTGAAACACCAAGCATTCTGCATTTTCACTGCTGACAGCTAAGAGCAAACTTTTTTTTCAGATAAAACTAACCACAGTCTTCACAAGCCAGACAAAATGCAGTGTACACAGAAAACCTCACAAAATTCTGTCAGAGCTTGGTACAGACTCAGAATGTGAAAGGTGATACCCTTTTTCATGAGGAAAGTGAAAAGACGAGACACAAAACAACATCACAAGAAGCAAAGAAAAGAAACAACCAGCCCATTTATGTTTCCATGGTTACAGTTTTGTGTGTGACCACCTAGCTGTGCTTTACCACATGTTGTACACATGCCAACATTTAAAAAAGTATCACAATGTGTTTAGACTGCCACTGTTTTTACAAAACTTTCAAGACATTGAGATTAAAACAGTTTTTTGTAATACTTTCATGGCATAGTAAGAGTCACTTAAATACTCAAATACCTCCCACATGAAGATGGAAGAGATACGTATCTAGAAATCCTGTTGTTTGGGGAAAATATGCTGTCAACTGCTTTTAGAATATCAATTTTTTACAAATGTTTCTAAGAGATGTAAGATTTCAAAATGACATGATAAACCAATATGAATGTACCTACATGTATGAGTTTTTCTTAATTGGATCACCGTTTCCACACAAGACTGTATCAGTTTAAGTAGACTTTTCTAGTAAGGTGGAATGTTCAACCGAGTCATTTCATCTGCTGAGTAAATTCAAATCTCAGGATTGTGAAACCAAGAGGGGTAGTTGAAGGTGAGAACTGAGTACAAGAAAACAAGTCAGTCGTACCTGAAACAGAGATTGCTCTGTGGAAGCCTGCATCTGAAAAGATTCCAGGATTAATAATCATACAAATCATTTAAACCTCATGAACATATTGATCATTCCTTCAATTCAGTACTGATCATTTAGAAGAACACTGCATTATGAGATGTTTGCCCAAAGAGTTGAACATGTGATTAGGCTGGATTGAACATCTAGACATCATCTTTGCATCATCCTTGGTCACAAAAAGGTCTTTAAATTTCTTGATTAGTTTTTGACAGTTTTGGAATCTTTTTTAATTATTGATCGTGTCTCTGCTAATAAGGGGGATGTTTCTTTCTTTGTTCCTATGATGACAGACCTAGAACAGCGACATGAGCCAGTGGTTTCAGAAGACGAGGGAACGAATGACAAGAGACTGAAGAGAGGATGTATCAGCTGCAGACCAAGGAGGGCAGGAAAGAATGAAATAGATGGCAAAATGAGAGGACAGGACTTGGGAATGGACACGGAATACTAGTCAGGGTACGTCGTGGGAAGGAAAAAATTGATAGAAACACACAAATTATGTCAGGTAAAGTTACACTAAACTGATAAAGTTTAAAAAGTTTGTGTAGGCATAAAATGTTAAGACTGGGTTTTGTTTATCTACAACTCACTGATTTATAATCCAAAGGACCTTTTTCAGGACAAAAAACTAACTTTGGTCATGCAAAAGCTAACTACTCTTGCATATCAAAATTGGGTTCTATCATCTCCAACTGAAGTAGAACATATGTAATACAAAACTGCTGCAAACTCCAATTGAAGTCAGCTTCGTTTTTGAAATACAACACAAGTTAATACTAGTGCTGTAAAAATCCATCCCAAAGTTGAAAATTGGTTGAGAAAGCTTTGTTTTTAAACTGCATTATTTATGCATAATTTAAAATTGATGCAATGCAAGTCTATGAGGCCCTTTCAATGACAAAAAGACGAGGTATCACCATGACAAGTTACCTCAACCATTTGATGTGCACGCATCTCTCTCTCCATTCGTAGCTGCTCCATTCGAGACCGTTTCTGCTGCTGCTTCAGGAAAAGACGATGTTCTTTAGCACGTCGTTTTTCTTCTGCAGCTTGGAGAGCTGCCGAGTAGAATCATTGACATACAATTGTTACAGGATTTTTTTTTAAAGGGAAAGAGATGATGTACCAGTAGAACAATGTCCAATGAAATGTTCTGCTTGCACTTGCAATGTTGCCACACATGATGGATGCTTAAGACATTCTCTAATCACTTTCTGGTTTACTACCTGTGATTTATTCCACAGGTTAGCTGAACACCTACACAAACTGGGCAACATAAGCTGGTGCTCTATCTTGCTATTCTTAAGTCACTGTAAACATGTCACATGTACATTGCATAATCATGTTGCATGTCATTCAGTGAGGATTGCTGGATGAATTACAATGGAGTTTAACATAGGCGATGACTAGTTTGCCATACAATGGCTTCTGGTTGCTTGATAATAACTATAATGACTATTAAGGCGGCACATATCATGTCAGCAGCACAGTTACACCAGGCACTATTACAATTATTACCCCCATTCATCAGGCCATAAGACCAATTCAAGCAGTCAATATCACTGCACATCCTGCTTCCACCCTTACAGGCACCCATTCATACTCTAAGGAGGGTGAGAGCCATGTGAAAGTAAAGTGACTTGTCCCAAATGGCAACATGAAACTGGCTGCTGGATTTGAACCCTGGACCCTATGATTGGGAGTCACAAACCCTACCTATGCCCACGCCATGCTTTTGGCAAGGGCTTGTTGTCAGTGAAGTTGAGCTAGCCTACCCTGCTGTCTCCTTACCCTTATAGCCAGATGTGGCTGCTGCTGGATTCAAACACTTGACCCTGTGATTGGTATTCAAAAACCCTTCCCATCGTTATGCTATTCTTTTGGCAAGGAGTTATGTTGTCAGTGAAAAAGTTGAGCTGGCCTATTTTACTGTCTCATTGAATTTATGGCCAGATATGCCTGCTTATGAATTTAAACCCCAGACCCTATGATTGGGAGTCATAAACCCTACTTAAAATGCGTATAACATGATATTGGCAAGGATAAAGTTGAGCTAGCCTACCTTGCTGTCTCCTCGCCTCCCTGGCCAGATGTGCTTGCTGCTGCCGTTCTAACTTGCGTCTCATCTTGGCCTCTTGAATTCTCCGCACCATCTCTGCTTTGTATCAGCGGACAAGGAGGAAGACACGTGCGGTCATAATCAGTTCAAGTCTAAATGGAAGTCTGAGTGTGTTATCAAGAATCCAGAATGTAGTTATTTAGGTGGTGCCCTCAAGAAAATTGTCCTGAGCATACTCAAAGAAGGCTTGGTGCCATTGTAATGTATGTGACACCTCTAATTACACGTTTTCAGGTATTGCAGCTAAAATTACAATTGGTACGTTCTGTTTTTCTTTTCTTAGCATCCACAGACATTCAAAAATTCAGGCAAACTTTTACTCATTACTTGCAGAATTTCAGATCCTTGCACTTGACTTATGAGTCGGTCCCTGAATTTTCCAAATGTATCAATCAATATCAGTCCATTTCAGACAGGAAATCAACTCTCCCCATTATCCAATGTTTGTACTGCCCCCAACCTTGGTGTTCAATCTTCTTGCGATGTTTGACTTCCGCAGCACGCCGAGCCAACTCCTGAGCGATGCGTTTCCTCTCAGCATTCTTGACAGGTCGACCTGGACGTGGCTTACGCCCCATCAGGATGTTGATGCGTTGTTGCAGTTCACTCTCGGTCAACTTCTCAAAGATGATACCCTGCAGATGAGGAAGGGGAAAGATGGTTTCTATTAGGAGGGTGAAGGGAAGATTGGCAAATATCCAACCCTGGACTAGCGTTGTTCTTCATTAGTATTGGAGCATATTGCAACATACAGGTAACTATGATTGCCAATTTTTATTCATAACTTACGGCAAGTATCAAGTTCTGCTACATTAGTTTTAATGAAACAGTTCAAAAAGGAATCATGCTTCTCATTGGACATTGAATGATCTAGTATGGCCAAGGTTAAGCAAGAACTCGTAATGCTAGAAACTTACCCCAACATTCTCATTGTCTGGTTTAGGATTCAGAAACTCTCCAATACGAATCTTGGCACTAAAGCTGAAATGTTCTCGACCAACATCCACAATGCCACGTCTCTGTATGTACCTCATGACCTCGGGATAGGTGCGTAGTTTCTTACCACATGGACCATAGTACAGGACATCACCTTTGACCCGGTCACCAGGTCCTAATTGGCGTATGATGACCTGACGACGCCATCCCCGGGATAGAGGTCTACGGACGGCTCTTTCATCAGTGACACGAAGACGTTTACGCTGAACAGCTGTGAACCAAAGAAAGCAAATATCTATATGTAGGTCCTACACTTGCTATATCACATGGTCATGATTCCATGGTTGTTATGGCTATATCTAAAAATCTTAGCTGTGACTTACAGTAACACACACACATCTATGGGAAAAAGCAATAGCCACTAGTCAATGACTTCCAAAGGACTGGCTATTATTACTATACACTTCAGCTATAGGAAGACCCTTCTTAGAGTCAGAGATGACATATGTAACTCATTCTTAACCAATCCAAATACCTAATCTACACGTATCAATGATGTTAAACTTTAGACCACTTTAAGCACTTTTAGCAGTCATCAATACAGACAAATTTTGAGCACATGTGCATCAAGATATTTGAAACAAAATGTAACAATATGATGTCTGATTGAATTTATCCATAATCCTTAGACATATAAATAAATGGATAAGAAACAAAAACCCCTCCTATCCATCCGTCTTGCCCATTCCCCACCCCCAGACAGAGTAAGGGAGTTAAGAAATTAATTGCAACAGGCAAAGTACAGGTAGAAAACTCCAAGACACAGTATCAACAGTGTATAAACAGCTATTGTAACAACCTGCCTCTAGACATGATAATGGCATTATTACTCACAATCTGGGGAAATGTTTTATCAGCAATGATGAGAAGTCACTCTTGCTGTTTTAAAATCAGTGGCCTCACCTGACCTCTAAAAGGTTTCAAAACAATTACTTTTCCAGTAATTCCAAATGTGTTTTCCAAAAGATCCAAAAAAGAAAGGCACTTGTGGGTGTGCATTGGGTAGAAAACTTTGCTACAATCTTTTTAGTACAAGAAATACAATACTACTTTTTTAAGACTTTAAATACACTGTACTTTTTCAAATTCTTCACCCTTAAAGATTTATAGATGTATAATTTTCACATCAAAAAATCTCCGAAAATCACATAACTTTACAAAAACATGAACAGATACGTTGTCCAAGATTTTAAAGATTGTCCAAGAATCCAACAGCAAAACTACATCAAAGACAATGTTAAGAGCTTACGCATGTATGCAGCAAACAAGTTACTGTCATGATCAGCTTTACGTTTCAGCAAGATGTTCATCGGCATGGGACTATTTTGTGATTCTCTAGCCATGGTGCTTGCGTCAGTGTCTTCCGAGTTCTCCCTCTGAGTCTTCTCCAAATCATCATCATCATCATAATTGTCATCATCGGTGTCCAAAGCTGACCCAGAATCTGATGAAACTACAAGGATACATGTATTTAACAAAACAGAAAATTTTAGCGACCAATAATTCGCAGTTTTAAATTTTTTCTCTTGTTAGAAAATTTACAGCACTTTGAATCTTTTCAAACACGCAAATACTTTATCATTAAGAATATCTTATGAAATTTTAATTAATAAAATAATTTTATGGTATTTCAGTTTTAATGGCTTCTGGCCACTGCCCCCCCGAACAGATATGTCAACAAATGGGAAGAGCCAGCGACCTACACGTAGGGCTGGATAGCTCAGTTGGTAGAGCACTGGTACGGTATTCCAGAGGTCGCAGATTCAAATCCCGCTCCAGTCAATTTCTTTCTTCATCTTTATAATCATAAGTTTATTATGTCAGAATAAACAATTGTGAGAAAATGATCAAAGCTAAAAAGTTAACCTTTTGGGAAATACATTCAATTAATCCAGTCAAGTTTGATAAAATTCAGGCCTTTCCAAGTGGCAACCTTCAGAGACACATCATAATTCTTCCTTGTAATCTTAAAGAAAACCCTGCCAACCACTTAAACAATGCTGCTTGCTGTTTGCCTGGTGTAATTCATTTTTACTCTAAACACAACTCACCATCCTGGCAATCATCAGATACTCCTGTGACATCACCCACACTATCACTGTGTTCTCCACCCTCTTTGTCAGCTGTTGGCCCTGCCTCTCCTTTCTCTCCACCCCTCTGCTTAGTCTTCGCCTTAGCAGATACTGATGGAGCTGGGGAGATTTCAACACTTTGGGCAGCCGACTCCTGGACTGTGACCATTCCCTGTGTTCCATTCACCTATGGGCAAGTCCATCGGTGAACCAAGTTTTAGTTTCAACCATTCCTTTTAGAAGCAAGTTTGTGGTAGATACATGTAGATATGCACATCCAGAAAGAGTTTGAAAGTTTGATTAGAATTCCTTTGAATTTAATCTAAAGAGAAGGCTAACACTGTTGAAAGTGCTGATATTGAGGCCACAGAATTACAAATTATGGCTCAAATCATCATGGGTATGTCAGAGGCGAGATGCGGGGATGTTCAAAAGGCCAGAAAAGTAGCAAACCTGAATGAATAAACCTAAAACAAATCACAATGGGTTCAAAATAACCCAGGAAATCACACACCTGCTGTGTTATTCGCAAACTACACGATTGGCATATTTTCAACACTATGCCCACAACCCCATCAAAAACAAGAAAGACTGAAGCTTTGGTTGCCAATGAAAGTCATTCTGAAAAAAATACACGTAGGGCTCATTAAAGGACCAGCCAGTCCTACACCCTCAAACTCCAAGTAGTGGACCAGTAGTAATTTCACAGGAGGAAAAAGTGACCAACTCCTCCAAAACCACTCTCATCCCCCTCATCCCCACCCTCACCCCCACCCTCACTTTCCACCCCCAAC